TAAAATTGACTGTCTCTAGGGCCCTAACTGGAGGGACCAAAACGGATAAAATTGACTAATATTTTATAATGTCTGCTTGTCAATACCCATACAGGATAGACTAAAAAATACTCATAATGTTTTAAAGGGTTTCAATGTCCTTTATTCCAATTGTGAATTTGATGGCCCTACTTCTCCTTGGGAACGGGGTCAGGTTTACTGTACAATGTAGTTTATATAAGAAAATAGGATGTTTGCTCATGATTTGGTTCAGTTCCATTGGAAATAATTCTAACATGTTTAGAAGTATTAGAATTGTCACCAGGGGCCTGACAGGAAGGGTAAAAAAGGGTAAAATTGACAACTTGTAATTACGGTTTTTACATCTGCCAGCTGCTTGTTATTTTTACATGAACAAATGTATCGTTGTATGATGAGGTAATAGTGTCTATTGTATCGTTGTATGATGAGGTAATAGTGTCTATTGTATTGTGTATGATGAAGTAATAGTGTCTATTGTATTGCTGTATGATGAGGTAGTAGTGTCTATTGTATCGTTGTATGATGAGGTAATAGTGTCTATTGTATTGTGTATGATGAAGTAATAGTGTCTATTGTATCGTTATATGATGAGGTAATAGTGTCTATTGTATTGTTGTATGATGAGGTAATAGTGACTATTGTATCGTTTTATGATGAGTTAATAGTGTCTATTGTATCGTTATATGATGAGGTAATAGTGTCTATTGTATTGTTGTATGATGAGGTAATAGTGTCTATTGTATCGTTGTATGATGAGGTAATAGTGTCTATTGTATTGTTGTATGATGAGGTAGTAGTGTCTATTGTATCGTTGTATGATGAGGTAGTAGTGTCTATTGTATCGTTGTATGATGAGGTAGTAGTGTCTATTGTATCGTTGTAGTGTCTATTGTATCGTTGTATGATGAGATAATAGTGTCTATTGTATCGTTGTATGATGAGGTAATAGTGTCTATTGTATCGTTGTATGATGAGGTAGTAGTGTCTATTGTATTGTTGTATGATGAGGTAGTAGTGTCTATTGTATCGTTGTATGATGAGGTAATAGTGTCTATTGTATCGTTGTATGATGAGGTAGTAGTGTCTATTGTATCGTTGTATGATGAGGTAGTAGTGTCTATTGTATTGCTGTATGATGAGGTAATAGTGTCTATTGTATTGCTGTATGATGAGGTAGTAGTGTCTATTGTATCGTTGTATGATGAGGTAATAGTGTCTATTGTATTGCTGTATGATGAGGTAATAGTGTCTATTGTATTGCTGTATGATGAGGTAATAGTGACTATTGTATCGTTGTATGATGAGGTAATAGTGTCTATTGTATTGCTGTATGATGAGGTAATAGTGTCTATTGTATCGTTGTATGATGAGGTAATAGTGTCTATTGTATTGCTGTATGATGAGGTAATAGTGTCTATTGTATTGTTGTATGATGAGGTAATAGTGTCTATTGTATTGTTGTATGATGAGGTAATAGTGTCTATTGTATCGTTGTATGATGAGGTAATAGTGTCTATTGTATTGCTGTATGATGAGGTAATAGTGTCTATTGTATTGTTGTATGATGAGGTAATAGTGTCTATTGTATTGTTGTATGATGAAGTAATAGTGTCTATTGTATCGTTGTATGATGAGGTAATAGTGTCTATTGTATTGCTGTATGATGAGGTAATAGTGTCTATTGTATTGTTGTATGATGAGGTAATAGTCTATTGTATCGTTGTATGATGAGGTAATAGTGTCTATTGTATTGTTGTATGATGAGGTAATAGTGTCTATTGTATTGTTGTATGATGAGGTAATAGTCTTTTGTATTGTTGTATGATGAGGTAATAGTCTTTTGTATTGTTGTATGATGAGGTAATAGTGTCTATTGTATTGTTGTATGATGAGTTAATAGTGTCTATTGTATCGTTGTATGATGAGGTAATAGTGTCTATTGTATTGCTGTATGATGAGGTAATAGTGTCTATTGTATTGCTGTATGCTGAGGTAATAGTGTCTATTGTATCGTTGTATGATGAGGTAGTAGTGTCTATTGTATCGTTGTATGATGAGGTAGTAGTGTCTATGGTATGATCCACGTGTCTTTATTTGCTTTGGAGCGGGTTCACTCCCATCAGATGATCTTTCACCATTTTGAGGAGATCTTATTTGGTCGACACCAACAACAATTGTACGTCAGACCCATCACTAACTCAACGATGAAAACATTGTGGAATTCATGCAAAAAATTCACAGGAAAGTAATGAAAAAAAATGTACATCATGATACAGTTAAAGAAATTAATGATTTAGTGATGTGGCAGTTATATTTCGGACAAACGTCTGTCCATAGACAGGAGGACGGACAGATGGATTTTGACATACCCCATCCACAGAAAAAGAATTCTTTAAAATTGAAAATATTTTTAAGGAAGCTGCTTCAACGCATGTTTTATTTAAAAATCGCTTTCAGATGATGTTCTAAGCAAGAAGTGAAAAAAATATATAAAATTTCACAATTCATCTGAAGAATAGTTCAGTTTTCAAGTTTTATCCGAATGTCACGAATTCGGTATAAAAATGGCAATTAATACTTAATGAAACTGCTTTGATATCTATATTTATCTTGGAATCTGTTATATGAACCCGGATGTGCCAAATATCCCCAAAAATCACAGAAATTGAAACCTTTCGCACGGTATCTCTTCTTTTAGAAGAGATAATCATAGAACGTCAACGAATCATTCATTTTTTTGGCATACACATTTATCATGAAAATGATAATTAATTGATCACAATCGTTGATGAGAAAATAAGTTTATTTAAACTAATATCATTTTCTGGTGATAAAAACTTACTCGTTCTAGGTTGTGAGCTATATATAGGTCTAAGTTACTTGAGTGACGTAATCATTGTGTTAAAACTGACCTATTTATATGACTGATATAAACTACATGCTTTATTGCCTGTAAGAGTGGTAAGTACAGACGTACATATAAATCGTATCAGTAATAGTTCAATTTATAATGATCTTGAATTTTTTATATTACTGATCTATTGCAAAATTAAGACACGTATGATCAGTGACATGTCCTAGAAAGACGTAAAAGATGTAGAGTTCATTATCTCTATTGTATTCTAAATCTGTAATGAAATGTGCTATTTACTTGTTTGTTTATTGTACGATCACTGAACCTCGAAATAATTTAGCTAATCTGTAATTGTATTATAAATCTGTATTGAAATGTGCTATTTACTTGTTTATTGTACAATCACTGAACCTCGAAATAATTTAGCTAATCTGTAATTGTATTATAAATCTGTATTGAAATGTGCTATTTACTTGTTTGTTTATTTTACAGTCACTGAACCTCGAAATAATTCAGTTAATCTGTAATATTTTTTGAGACCACACTTCACAATAGTGTTTTGTATTAAACTACCGTGTTATTATTGCTGGGAGATAATATAGTAAATTACCATCAATATCACAGCGATGATACTAATAATGTTTTTCATATTTAAATAACTACAGTTTGCTCATTCAAACTCCCAACCATTTACCATACTAGTAAATCAATAGTATTAGTGGAAAAGACAAATTCAGAAAGTTCGTCATCTGTCTATTTTTGACATTTTGTGAATAACCCATGCCCTTTGGCCTCGTTTGGTTGGAGTTCCCTTAGCAGACCGGTTTGGTCAAATCCACCTGTATAAATAACTACTACTTGACTATGTTCACCATTAGATCCGTTTATCTTAGTTGTAATCGTGTACGCCCTAGAAATGAAAGCAAATATAGAAAAATCTGGATCGTTCATGCATCTGTTCTTGGAAACGTCATACCAAGTTTTCCTTCCTCATACAAACATAGAACCGCCCACTAAATCCGAAGTACATGGGAAGGACACAAGTCTTAATGTCAACAAAATAGTTGTTTGAGCCATAGTTACAATTTGTCCATCGTAATGTTAATCCTACCCAAAACGAAAGAACCGATTCGTGTATATTACTCAATCAGAAAGCCACTGCCGCATGTTTGTCTAGTCTAGCCGTTCCACTAAGACAACATTTAATTGATCATTACTTCTCATTTACGCGTATATATACTCAAACACCCCACCCCATACACCAACACACACTCACACCTTCCGCGACCGACACTCTCACACACATACATATGATTTTGACACTTGTAGCACAAATTTCCGAGAGGGAACCCAATTTTTGACCTCTGTCGTGTCTTGACCTCGAATTTTCTTTCGATCTCTTTGGATTTTCCTCGGTCGCCTTCTAGGCCCTTAGCATCACTGAAGAGTCCTAGAAGGACGAACAGCTGTATGACGCAGCTTCAATAATTTTTTGCATCTGTTGTATTTACCTTTTGATTACTAAAATGTCATTCACTTGTGTGTCTGTACAATTTTCCACTTCTTCTGCTAATCATTAGCAGTCTTTGGTGTGGAGGTCGCTTCAGAGTGACGGGGAAAGAAGGAGGCTTTAGCTTGAAAAAATTCTCATTTTCACTCCATATGGCGACAAATGGCAGTTATATTCTATTTTGATCCTCTGATGTCTTCAGTTTCCTACAAGAATGCCTCCACGCCGCCAACTGGATCACGTCGTTACCCTTGTATCTACATAACAGAAAAAGATATTGTTGGAACTGTGACCGGCATATTTAACATACAGCCTATGTTAATAACCATGGGGTTAAATAATAGATTTAATACCCACACTGTTAGTTTAAGTCTACAACAGATCATTGTAGACACAACAAACACACCGATGTAATCCGAAATCACAGTGTAATATTCTCCCCTAATGCCTCCTTAAATCCCCCAATGCCCTTAAATCGCGTAATGCCCCCTCAAATCCCCCAATGCCCTTTAAATCCCGTAATGCCCCTCAAATACCCCTTAAATATATTGTTATAGTTAGCAAATATCTAAAATCCTAAACTGCCTTCATTTTAGACATAAGTGCGGAACTGTCATGGCTGCTGGAGGGGTCGTCTCAACAACTGACCAATACAGGGAGCTACAGGACAAGCTAGAAGAGCTCACAACATGTCCGATATGTCAGGAACGTTTCAAACAACCAAAAATTCTCAGCTGCCATCATACTTTCTGTTGTCCATGTTTGCAAAGTTACTTTATGCAAACACCGGAGGATAACTCGCCGTGTCCTCTTTGTCGGTGTTTGTTTTTCCCGCCAAAAGGAGATGTTTCAAATTTACCAACAAGCACTTTCATGCAAGATGTGGTAATGATGATTGAGAAAAAAAGTCCAATTACGAAGAAAGATTGCATGGTTTGTAAAAATATCAATAAGGATGCTGGCTTTATGTGTGTAGAATGTGACGTACAGATGTGTGAGTCTTGTAGGGACATCCATGAAATGTTCCGAATGGATTCTCATAATCTTTTAAGACTTGATGAAACACAAGACGTTCCGATAATATCTGTAATCGCTGGAAAGAAGACCAGTCGAACATGTGACGAACACAACGGCCAGATAATGGAACACTTGTGTATATCTTGCAACGTGCCGATATGTTCCGAATGTAAAATCACAAACCATTTTCAACATAGGGTACAGAACATAATCCACGCAGCAGAGGAAACCCGAAACATTATCCGGTTGTTAAAAAAGAGCTCAGATCCCGAGGTAAAGCGTCTAAGAGAAACGATTACGGACCTTAAATCTCTCTCGACATCCATTCAAATTTCAACCGACGCGATGAAAGACGAGGTCAGAACGACAGCCGACAAACTGGTAAAGACGGTACGCGAGAAAGAAAGCAAAATGCTCCGTATTGTAGAAACGGACGTCATAGCGAGACAGAAAGAACTCAAGTCGATAGAAGATGCGACAGAGTTACGCCTGACAAGCATCTTCACGTTCCTGGACTACATCAAGTCACTTGAAACGTTTGGAGACGTGACTCAATTGTCCGTTGCTAAGCAAACCATACAGAAACAGATTGATGAAAACAGTGTACAATCCACGCCGACGCTTCCGGCGTCTTGTCAATGCAATCGCAAATTTATACCATCCGACATTTTTGAAAGAATCCTTCATTCGGAAGACCTTGGAAAAATTGAATCATTTGCGATACAGTCCTTACGACAAAATGCGCCCCCAATACCACCAAGACTTCACCGCCACCAGAACAGATTAAACCCTCTTAAGTCAAAAAGTCCTGATGATGATGAACCGATAATTCCTCCACCAAGAGATCCGAAATGGGAAGTGACGCCATCAGAGGAAACATCCGTAAAACAGCGGGCAGAAAGTGATAATGAGTACACAAATCCCAAAGAATTTCTGTGGCGAGAAACAGACATTAACGACAACTCTTCGCCTCTTAATTCACCAAAGAGATCCACCCCGAAACCCCCGCAGTTAAATAGACCTCTTCCTCCACCACCAAGGCCACATGCGTCTTCAGTATCACTGAGCGTGAATGGATCGCAGTATTTGAAAATGTCCTCGGAGACGAAGCAGCAGCGATTGAAGCGGGTGATGAGCGACTCCGATTTACTTGACGAGACCGGAGTTAAGTCAATGATATCAGGTCCAAAAATAACTAGTGGTCAGATGTCCTTCAGTGCTAAGGTAAGAATTTCTGGATTGGCCGTAACAAGGAAAGATGACATGATCGTGGTCAGTAACTATAGTAAAAAGTGTTTGGTGTTCGACAAGTTTGGCGACCTCAAGAATGAAATATCGGACCAACTGGCAAATCCGTGGGACGCAGCTGTCAGTGTTACCGATGATGAACTCAAGGATATCGTTTACCTTACTGACACAGGTAAGTACTCACTTGGACATAGGTCAGCACTCGCACTTCTTAAAGTCTCACGTGCTGTCAAATGTCAGTTTTAACATTCGTAGAAAATATCGGTCTTTGTGTGACCTGTTAAGGTGCTCACGTATAGATTTTGTTCATTTAATTGAAATTTGGTATTCACTGGGTATTTTTTTTACAATTTGAACATTACCTTTTTCAAAGCATTAAAAAAGCAAGCAAACAAACAAAAACTGAGTTTTTTCTTTCCATAGGTGAAAAGTCTGGAGAAGGAAACGTGAAGGAATACAAATTAGATGGGACGTACCTCCGGACACTGGTCAGCAAATTACGAAAACCTCACGGCATCACAACGTCATCAGATGGTGACGTCATATACGTGTGTGACGCCGAGGACAGTAGCATCATCGCCTTATCACCAAGAAGAGGGAAAAAACCTCGCAAAATCAAACAGAATATGTTGGGAAAAAACCTGTTTATCTGCCCTTGGTATGTTTCCGTGACGGCAGGTGGAGAGATATTAGTTTCCGATTTCCACGCGGGAAAATTGGTTGGTATCAATGAGGACACCGATCGGAAGAAGAAATCTTACAAGCCAGAGAAATCCGGAAATTTGCAGGATTTTCGGCCAGCTATGAGTTGTGTCGACTCCGAGTCCAATATCTTCGTTGTGGATCAGAACAGTAATTGTATCTTTGTGTGGGCGGCGTGCAGAAACCTCATGAAAGTCTCCATCCCATCTACCATCGATATCAAACGTCCAGTGGCCTTGGCCTTCGACTCATCCGGGGCACTTTGGATTGGCTCCCGGAAGGGCGAGCTCGTCAAATTACATTTCAACCTGTAATATTGTGATACATGATGCAATATCGATGTTTACTGTAAAACAACAAATATTCGCTCGCGTAACAGAAACCGCGGGAAATTAATAACCACGAATATATTATCTTCATAACAATGAAAGATTCCCGGAAATATATTGACGAATGCGAAATAGTTTAGAAGAGCAAAATCGGGAAAATCATCAGCTCACATATCAATTAGCGATGATAATAGTTTACATCCGGGATAAATTTGATTTGGGAACTTACTGGCAGAAAAGGTTTTAGTTCTTTTACATGCGCAGTCGATGTTAAACGTTTGATGATGGAGGAACCTTTTTCGTGTTCCCTGTTGTGTGTTTTTTTTTTTTTTTTCATTTTAAATGCGTCATGCGGTTTTGAAAAAGACATTCCCTGCGTTGTTGGGTGTTCTGCTTCTAATTGTGGATTGCTACATCGAAGTCACCATGACTGTCCTACCGTCTTCAATTTTCTCTCCTCACTAGAAACCATAAACATTCGTCGCATGGCATCCACTGCAATGACACAACTACAAGCGCACATACCAGTCCGTTTATCAGCTTACTGATACTATTCAACGTTTGCTCAGCTTACTGAGAATTACAAACCGCAACGGGTTAGGAGCGTCGGACCTGACACCTCGGATCTTCTATGTTTATAAAGATTATCGCTCTGATCAACTGAGCTATCGGGGATCCTGACATTGTCTCCATCTTTACAAAGATGCCGACGATAATTTAAGTGATGTAATGCGCGAGACCAAACCAAAGACAAACCATGATGCAGCTTTTTGTTTTATATGTTATTTCTATACTAACTTATCATATACTACAATTACAATCAACAGTGCATTGAACCATATATGGTAATCTAATGAAATGTGTTCGTACATATGTTTGCGTATGTTTGCGTGAGTGAAAGCAACCTTGGGTGTGCATACACAAAAAAATATATATCACGGGTTTTTTATCATCTCTGTTATGGAGAACACGTGGTGAACGTCTTAAATTATAAGCTTTATTTTTTGGCCTCTGGCGAGTCACTTTTGTCTTTCTGTTCCGAGTCAAAATACTGCTTATATTTTAAGACACTGACCACGTTTCTGTTTATCCTGCAACACTGATTGAAATTCAGACTAATGAAACGGAAACAGTTGTTCAATCTATATTCACCTGATGTTGACGTTACGCTGAATTTTACCAGATGACGTAATTTCTCCGCATGGAAATATAGATCCAAACCTCATCGGACATAACAGCGATTTTATGAATTTTCATAGATCGCCATGTTCATTACAACATGTAAAATCGTTTTTGTTCAGCAACTGTTTTTTTTTTTTTTTTTTTTTAATTTTATTTCTAAACGAAATATTTAAATAAATTCAGAGAGTAATTCTGTCGAATTACCGCACGTGATAAAACGCATCTGTTTTCCGTCATTGCCGAGTACAGCAAAGATACATGTGAGGTACCGGCCAGTTGCAGGGTAGAATAATATAATTATCTACTATTTGTGATCAGGTGATCTCTTGATATTTTTGTATATATAAAACAATTATCATTATAGTGGGTATTCGTATTTCCCGATATTTCTTAATGAATTCAACATTCATCATTCCTCGGACGATCTCGAGTCACAAAATAGTTATCATTTCTGTTATTGGAGGTATTAAGAATGCCAACAAAGCTTTAGAAAGGGTTAGGACTATGGTAACGATCTCATTAGGAAATATCTTAATTCCTTGTGCTATAGGTAGCAGTACATAGTTTCTCGGTGTGTCCGTGGATGATATTTTTGTTCATTAGATAACCCCATTATATTGATTCTTTGTCATTTCGACTATGCCACTGCTGGTTGGTATGAAAGTTTGTCAAAAAAACTAAAATATAAATTACAGGTAGCACAAAACAAAGTAATAAGATTTTTTTTTCAACATTCAAAATAGGCAGAGTATAAAATGCAGTGATTTTTTGCGTACAAACATGTTAGACATTGATTCATATGTTTAATGTTTTCCATGAAAAGACTCCAAACTATATGCACAATTCCTTTCACAAGAATCCATGTCTACAAAATACTCGATCCTCAGCATATAATTTCAGTCTCCCATCAGTACAAGGTAAAGAATCTACAACATTCTACTTTACAGGCGCAAAAGAATGGAATTCTCTTCCAGATTATATTAAAAGTATACTAAACAAGCTTAAGTTCAAAATCCAAGTGAAACGTCACTTTCAAAACAAAATGCAAGAAAACATGATAGTTATTATGTATATTATTGATGGAAATACATTTGTAAATCCATTTTAAGGACCCCAATGGAAATAAGCGTTTCAACGATTTTTTTTTAGGAAATCCTAGGATATATGTACTTTTGTCTTTCTTTATAAATATCACTAGCTGATACGTTAAAGATGTAGCAAACAACTTATTCATGATTATGTATAACGTGTTATATGTGCCATATATTCATATGTTTTGTATACAAATCTGAATAGAGGAGGAGTGCCAGTTTGGGCCTTCTGGTGGCCATTACGAATACTTTTTACTTTTTGTCTATTAAAAACTTGAGGTCAGACGGTAATGACATGGCATTAATCTAAGGCCAGCTCAAGGCTGTTCAGTTGTTATAGGGGAGACGAGTGGGGGATCAAATTCATAATTATTGCAATAATTATCAAACTGAAATATTTTTTTTTAGTTTTTTTCTCTTAAATGTCATTTGATGATATATTTTAAAACCTTCATTAGAAAAAATGACCAAAAAATGTGCCATTGTTGAAAAGTAGGTCACAGTAATTAAGTGCCCTAATTACTAATTACACTCTAAAATTTAATGGCGTCGTCAAAACCAACCCGTCAGTCAAATCACAGAGGAGGGCGAACCTGAGACACGGCAAGCAGAACAGGGGAGTAAATTAGTGACAAGGGGAATAACTCGGTGAGTGATGACGTCACACTCACTCCCAAGATAAATACATGATCCTGAGGGACCGTAGGTTTAGGGTGTTGTTAAGTCCGCTATCTTGGATTTTCGTTGTTTTCATAAATTATTTCACAGAATTACAATTTATTTTAAAGAAGTAGCAAAGACATATAGTGAAAACACTTAAATATGTTAACTAAGTGTTTGTTTAACAAAAGAATATTGATAAAGGATATTATTTCTAAGGGAGACAATCGCAGTTTACTCACCATGTATTGTGTACAGTATCATATCTCGGATTTGCAAAGGCCCACGTGACACTACGCTGTCGTTATATTTAATCAGGAAGTTTTGATCTTAGACATAAACATCATGTATAAATGATGATACATCACACTCTTTGGTCACACGTAATATCTATGTTATTATATATTATATTTTATTGTCATTAAATGTACTTCACCATGACATGAGATTTAAAGGGGTTATTGTCCTAACAAGGTCATGCAAAACATTCCGCACATATTCTTTTCTTAATTGGAGTATTAGTTTTGGGGACATGGGCAAGTCTTTGTACCTAGAAAGTGAAGTTTTATCTTGAGTGCAATCTTGCAAAGATACATAGACTGTTTCTAGTTTCTATGGTTATATAAAGAAAATACCAATATGTCAACAAAATCGTAGTCCAAACTCAAAGAAAAAATAGGGCAAAATATAAGCAAAGGAAAGATTTCCTCGAAGGCTCGTGAAAAAGCACAAGGAAAATAAGACAATGTGTTCCGGAACAGTAAGCGTCTTTTGCTTCATTGACGACACACGCCGTATAAACACTGGGCAATCCAATTAAGTTATGTCATGTTCTCAAATAAGAATAAAGTATCAAACCTCGCGCCATTGTTGTATTTTCTGTATCATCAGACACAATACAAGAATCTTAGTTCCTTTGTTATAAAAGACTTTAAAGCATACAAAAAATCTTCTACGAAGTTTACATCGGAGCATTTGGTCTCGGATTGAAACAAATTTATTTATTTCAATTGGTCAGTTTCAGCTATAAAAAGGTATACCTTTTACCTTTGTTATTATAATAATTCAGTTCCTAACTTGACATCATTGAACATGCCGTGGAGGATCGACATTACACACAAAGTCGATATGAACAGTAGTCGAAGGGAGATAACCTTCGATATCGTTAAAAATGTTACAATTTATTTTATTTATCTACTTTTTTAATATACGAATTTCAGTATCACAGTTTATCTTTTTTGAGGGAAATTCGGTTATTTGCTTTACTCAGAAGATATGAAAAAAAAAACTGCTATCCATGATAACGTGGCTTCTGACTGTCCATCACGCATCGACGTCGTCATTTAGTAGTCCCAAAACCGGAAGTAGAAAGTCGCCATCCGGAGTAGAAACGTAAACACCTCTTGCCGAAATTGGGAGCAAATGTGATGTTTCTAGGAGGATCGAGAATTTAGGAACAGCATGATAAAAGCCATTTTAGTATTCAACAATCACGGCAAGCCAAGATTATCCAAGTTTTATCAGTTTTATGTAAGTATGTCATCGACATTTGTCTTAACCAGTAACGCCCTCCTTCCCTAACCGTTTACTCATTCCTTGTTTCAGTGACATACCGTCTTCCAATTCACGCTTTTTGGGTATGATGGTATGCCTCAAGTCTTGTCAGAAAAAGGACATGATGGGAAAAGTTATTAGGTACTGGTGTAAAAGAACAGGGAAAATACAAATTCCTGTCGAGCCCCCAGACCAGGAATCAAAGTCAAGTCGCTGGCGTGATAATCGACTGGCTCTACCAACGTAGCCAAAGTAGCATCCTCTGTCAGCCGAGTGACAGAGATGGTGTTTAACACTATATACAAGTCACACCACCCCATCAGCTGAGTGACAGAGATGGTGTTTAACACTATATACAAGTCACACCACACCGTCAGCTGAGTGACAGAGATGGTGTTTAACACTATATACAAGTCACACCGCCCCGTCAGCCGATTGACAGAGATGGTGTTTAACACTATATACAAGTCACACCACCCCGTCAGCTGAGTGACAGAGATGGTGTTTAACACTATATACAAGTCACACCACCCCGTCAGCTGAGTGACAGAGATGGTGTTTAACACTATATACAAGTCACACCACCCCGTCAGCTGAGTGACAGAGATGGTGTTTAACACTATATACAAGTCACACCACCCCGTCAGCCGAGTGATAGAGACCATATTTATCACTATATACAAGCCACACCGACCCGTCAGCCGAGTGACAGAGATGGTGTTTAACACTATATACAAGTCACACCACCCCGTCAGCCGAGTGACAGAGATGGTGTTTAACACTATATACAAGTCACACTACCCCGTCAGCCGAGTGACAGAGATGGTGTTTAACACTATATACAAGTCACACCACCCCATCAGCTGAGTGACAGAGATGGTGTTTAACACTATATACAAGACACACCACCCCGTCAGCCGATTGACAGAGATGGTGTTTAACACTATATACAAGTCACACCACCCCGTCAGCTGAGTGACAGAGATGGTGTTTAACACTATATACAAGTCACACCACCCTGTCAGCCGAGTGACAGAGATGGTATTTAACACTATATACAAGTCACACTACCCTGTCAGCCGAGTGACAGAGATGGTGTTTAATACTATATACAAGTCACACCACCCCATCAGCTGAGTGACAGAGATGGTGTTTAACACTATATACAAGTCACACTACCCCGTCAGCCGAGTGACAGAGATGGTGTTTAACACTATATACAAGTCACACCACCCCATCAGCTGAGTGACAGAGATGGTGTTTAACACTATATACAAGACACACCACCCCGTCAGCCGATTGACAGAGATGGTGTTTAACACTATATACAAGTCACACCACCCCGTCAGCTGAGTGACAGAGATGGTGTTTAACACTATATACAAGTCACACCACCCCGTCAGCCGAGTGATAGAGACCATATTTATCACTATATACAAGTCAACCCCGACCCGTCAGCCGAGTGACAGAGATATATATACACACACCACCCTATATACACTATATACAAGTCACACTACCCTGTCAGCCGAGTGACAGAGATGGTGTTTAATACTATATACAAGTCACACCACCCCATCAGCTGAGTGACAGAGATGGTGTTTAACACTATATACAAGACACACCACCCCGTCAGCCGAGTGACAGAGATGGTGTTTAACACTATATACAAGTCACACCACCCCGTCAGCCGAGTGATAGAGACCATATTTATCACTATATACAAGCCACACCGACCCGTCAGCCGATTGACAGAGATGGTGTTTAACACTATATACAAGTCACACCACCCCGTCAGCCGAGTGACAGAGATGGTGTTTAACACTATATACAAGTCACACCACCCCGTCAGCCGAGTGACAGAGATGGTGTTTAACACTATATACAAGTCACACTACCCCGTCACCTGAGTGACAGAGATGGTGTTTGAACACTATATACAAGACACACCACCCCGTCAACCGAGTGACAGAGATGGTGTTTAACACTATATACAAGTCACCCTGTCAGCTGAGTGACAGAGATGGTGTTTAACACTATATACAAGTCACACCACCCCATCAGCTGAGTAACAGAGACCGTATTTAACACTATATACAAGCCACCAACCCGCCAGCTGAGGGACAGAGAGCGTATTTATCACTATACAGTCGAATCTCGATAATCCGGACACATTGGTCCCCAGCAGTATTTGTGCGGATTGTGAATCTTCCGGATTGCTGGAACATGACTTTGATGACCGTCAAACTTGTCATTACCATCCAGAGGTGTTGATCACGTATGCCGGACTAAGTACGTATGCCTGCACATGGTACATATTCACATCATGTGTGTTGTTTGTGAGATGCATGTTTGTGAAATATCATGTATTTTGTACATATTATTAAACATAGGATAATAAATTATGTTAATTAATAAAGAGTTGGCAGGTAGTTTTCTTAACACTAACAGGGATTTCTACACGACGGCGTTTGGGTGCGGGGGAAGCCATAATAAAACACTGTAAATGACAAATAGATATCGATTACCAAAAATAAATAAAAGTAAATAAATAATAAAAAGAAAAAACGATCTGATTTCAGACGTAAAAATAAATCTTATAACAAAACAGATAAATCATTGAGTTACTGTATTATGAGTGGCTGAAAGCGATATGATCTTCCGAATGGTCCCGGGCAGAATTTATACACAGTTATATTTTGACAAGCAGACAATTGAACAGAATTCACGTAATCACTGAACACCGTTAATCCAATCATCCTAGTATTTACACCTAGGTTACCTAATGGGTTTTATACCACTGATCATTGTCCAAGCCGAGTGGTCGCGTATAATAACAACGTGTGCCAGTCGATAACACTTGTCACTGTGTGATTTACCTGTGGGAACCTCTCTGTCGCAGCACTGTGCGCATTAGAGCTGAACAAAAACACTGATTTGCATTCCCAAAATAGTGTTTGTTCCTTTTGAAGAGATCGACATTATGGCGAAAGGATAAACAACGCCAATTTCAAAACAACACTTTTATTAATTTCATTCACCTTGGAAAACAGTTTATAATAGGACGACTAATTAACAGTGCAAACATTTCATGGTGACATTAGACAGAGGTCAGCTTGGTGCAATCGATATACAATCATGTGTGACAGACAATGCCCTCAGTCAGGTAAGATAGCGGTCTATTTTTTCTGAAAAAAACAATTTTCTTTTGTATTTTCTGCGTCCGAATTATCGACTCAAAAAAGACCATATTTCTGGGTTGGTTCCCGGAAATTGTGCCCGGATTGCGAATCCGGTTTTCCGGATTAGTAGCTCAAAATAACGTTACAGAAATCCGTTCCCGTTGATTCTCGTCCGGACTGCGAGATTTCCGGACCAACGGAGCTCGGTTTATCGGGTCTCGACTGTATACAAGTCACACCACCCTGTCAGCCGATTGACAGAGACCATATTTAACACTATATAACCTGATCCTATTACTTTACTCTTCTGTTTTTCTTGAGAATCAAACTCGGCTCTCTAGCGTGATAATCTTCTTTGTGTATGCAAGGTTCTGTTTCTTGGGAATTTCCATGCTCCATAAATATGATGATTATGCTCTGTTTGATCCAAGACTGTTGTGGAAATCCAAAGTTACTGTCTTGTATACCTAAGCGCAAATAATTTCCATAATACTGATTTGTCTGTTGAAGGTGACAGTATAGTCATCAAAACATCACACATGAATTTTCTAACAGGTTATGATATAAGAACTGCTATTTGTTAATGATATTGTTATTTTGTTGTTGTCAGGCAGAAGATGTGGAACAGCAGATAATTAGGGAGACTTTTCACTTGGTCTCAAAACGGGATGAAAATGTCTGCAACTTCTTAGAAGGGGGCACGTAAGTATTAGAATAGATTTGAAGGATCTGCATCAGATTGTTGGTATTTGTTTTTCATGGTCTCAAAGATATTTACAGTTGATATATATGTGTGGAAGAATCATAGTAGAGGAAAATTCTTAAAGTTGACAGAAACACAGAAGAATTACTACTCAGAGGGGAAAGGTTTTTAATCAACATTGAAAATGAGGCTTACACAATGTGGGACATCGTAAAAGTCTTACCCTTATGGTTGAGATTACATAGTCTTACCTATGTTGATCTGATCTGTTGACTCAATCTTGGGAAAAAATCATTACTTTATAACTGAAGATTAGTATGCTCTGTTGGAATGGCATAAAAGGCCAGGCAAAAAATCCTTGTGTTTCCTGTAACCTGTTGGAAAAATAAGGTTAATAAGGTAGGCCAAAAAATAATTTTAAGAAATGATTTTATTTAGTTTATAAAGGAGAGAGATCTTCACTTTAACAGTGCTTCTTTGAAAATTGCCTGTTTTTTTTTTTTTTTTTGTCAATGAGTTGTGCCCCTTTATGTGTAATTCTTTAATTTTAGGTTAATTGGAGGTTCTGACTACAAGCTGATCTATCGTCATTATGCTACTCTGTATTTTGTGTTCTGTGTCGATTCATCAGAGAGTGAGCTTGGTATTCTAGACCTGATACAGGTAGGTAACCATGGTAATTAATATACAGGTCTGTGAAAAAAGGATTATGACAGTCAAAGCTTTCATCTGATACTTGAATATCAAAAGTCAGATCACTTTTCACTCCAATGGTAGACATGCCTTTCAAGATTTAGGAGTCAAAGTTCTTTGTTGGGAGTTAAAAAAAGAAGTTTTAAGGGTTATGAAAGTTCAAAGTTATATACATTTTCACAATAAAAAGAGGTTTCTTCTATGATTAACATCTATCTTCAGGTAAAATATTTTGTGTTAATATCAAAACGTTTTGCTTTTTCTGTCTCAAGAGCTGTATTAGAAATTATTTTCAATATAAACTTTTTTTTATTTACAAATTTTTTTTCTCCCCTCAATCAAATTACTTCAGATGATGATTTTGACAGGTTTCTGTGACTGTGGTTTATGAGTGAATGTTACAAAAAGCTGTCCTTACACCAACTATACTTTAATGAAGATTTGATTTGTACTTGGAAATCTAGATTTGTGTAACATTTCATTGTCATACATATGTATTTATGGTTTACAGGTATTTGTGGAGACCCTTGACAAATGTTTTGAGAATGTTTGTGAATTAGACTTAATCTTCCATGTCGACAAGGTAAGTGCTGTCTTCAGGGATATTTGTTATGAGGCTCCCAAAAAGGGAGAGTATATAGGTCACCACACTGTCTGTCCATCCATCTGTCCCTCATAATTTTGTCCGGAGCATAACATAAAATCTTTAAGAGGTATCAACATAAAACTTCATAGGTAGATAGGTCTTACCAAGAAGAAGCTCAATTTACAAGAACCATAACTCTCTTTTGCATTGTGTTGAAATTATTGCCTTTTTGCTTTCAAATTTTGTCTCATTTGGAGAGCATAATTACGGCCCTTGTTGATTTATCTGTCCATTTCAAGCAAGAAAGTTGGATTTGTTCATTTCCAATAATTGATGGTTTCCTGTTATCAGGTTCACTACATCCTGGCTGAACTGGTGATGGGAGGGATGGTTCTGGAGACAAATATGACAGAAATCATTACGCGGATTGAAGAACAAAATAAACTTGAAAAATCTGAGGTAGGCCTTTATATCAGCAGTATTTTTCTGTTTGCATTGAGTTCTGTGTATTTGAGAAATTTTTTATCGCAAGACCCTTTTTGAAACTGTTGAGATTAATAAAGTTCTAGGTTATCTGAAAGATGTTGGTCTATATTATAGACTATGACTTACAACTTTAATCTTTTGTGATAATGTAACCATTTAAGATTTTTAGCATTAGTCTTTTAACTTTTGGTTTGTTTAATGTTATTTCCTTTTTGGATTGCTGTGTGTTTCACCGGTTGATGGCCCTAATCACCTTTTATGTGTTGATGCGCTGTTAAGACTGAAATGATAATGATAAGTTTGTATTGAGGCAAGACTTTTTCCCATATATACTTGTAATTTTACTTTTCCTGAGTCAAGACTTAATTTAGATCAGGTGGTTAGATTACAGCATGATGAAAAATTGATGTATTTAGTTAAATAATGACTTACGACAAATTTGTGCCTCCATATCTGAATTCTGGTAAGGAATTGATCTGTATTCTATAACCATTAATTATTTGTAGGTATGTAGGTATATTCAGTTATACATGAAACTTTTCCAAATTATGTTTAAACTTTTATCATGATAAATTTCTGGGTTCTAGATGTACTGTAAAATAATATATTTTCGTTGTGTTCAACTTCAGTGGTTTAACAGGATTGAACTCACATAATCCACTAAAATTTATATCAATTTGCATTTAAAAAAATTTTTTTGTGAACTTTTAAATTCATGGATCAAGAATAATCACAAGTGAAAATAAAACAACCCCAAAAATGAAAGATTTTCAGTAAGCGGAGTCCCAGTATAATAATAAGTATGCCAGTCTATATAGTGAGAGTGTTGGCCCGGTTAAACCTCAGGTGGAGATCGGTGGTGCATGGTTTGATGCTTTTGTCCTGTTTGAGTTTCTCATCAAGCTGAGATAAGGAATAGTCTGTGTTGATCTGGTTGTGTCTTAAGAAAACCATTTTGCCCTTATGTCTCTGGATGGCCTCCTGTATGATGTTCAGTGAAGTAGCCACCACCAACAAGAGATCCTGCCTTTGAGTCAAAATGACACTGGTTGTTTGTTCAGAGGGGCAATAAACTTAGAGCATAACAAAACAAATATTTCTATAGTTATTAAGATAGAGTCAACGCTGTGCTTTTTAAGAAAAGTTTATAAAGTTCCTTGTATCCGTTGCTTGGATACCTAACGGTATGCCGGGGATTGGAGTAAAGGGACCAGCGAAGAAATAAATAGCAATCACAACACGCTCAGGATAGCTGATTCTTCTTATTTATTTATTTGTCGACCGGTTTCGCCCGAACTTTGGGCTTCATCGGTGTTTTATAGTGTTAAACTTGTGATTTTACACAGTGCTGTTTAGAAGATAAATATTTTGTCTACAGTTTACGTGTCACCAAACTCTTAGTCATCTTGTTGTAGCCAATCAAAATCAAGGTTGCTTTTAAGGTCGACAGGGTAAAGATCTTTTCTGTTGATGACCGTTTTCACATAGGATTGTATTTAGTTAATATTCTGTGCTATGTGTCAACTTTTAGTCTAAATAAATTTGGTCCAAATTGTGGTTTTGAAATATGGAGAAAAATGATAAAAAAGAACAAAAAAATATTGGATGATTTCTGTATTATAATGAATTAAGCAGATCATGATGTGAGGTCAACATGAGGTAGACAAATTAGTAGGAGTTAGTGACAATGTATTCTATGTATATATATGAATTATTAAATGTATGATATATTTTTGTTTCCTGTAGAAAATTTTACAAATCCCCGTAAGTAATATCTGTCTAGCTTGCCCTGAATATGTATATACAGTGAATGTGTGGGAGGGGAGACAACTAACACTGATTTGCATATCAATAGTTTGTAAAGTTACTAAAATGGCATGCTGGACTTGTCATCATGTACAATGGCTCTTGTGATATATGTAGATCAATAATGAATGGATGATAATTGTGATTGTTAAGTGATAATGAGGTAATTGAACATGTTTGTTATTGTGCCATAAGTATTGATATACATACAGTATTGTGTATTTTTTGGGGGTGGGGGAGGAGTGGGGCGGTGGGGGAGGGGTGGGGATTGTTTGGGGTTGATTGATATACATACAATATTGCGTATTTTGAGGGGTAGGGGGAGGGGTGGGGATTGTTTGGGGTTGATTTATATACATACAGTATTGTGTATTTTGAGGGGTAGGGGGAGGAGTGGGGCGGTGGGGGAGGGGTGGGGATTGTTTGGGGTTGATTTATATACATACAGTATTGTGTATTTTGAGGGGTAGGGGGAGGAGTGGGGCGGTGGGGGAGGGGTGGGGATTGTTTGGGGTTGATTTATATACATACAGTATTGTGTATTTTGAGGGGTAGGGGGAGGGTTGGGGGGTGGGGGAGGGGTGGGTGTTGTTTGGGGTTGATTTATATACATACAGTATTGTGTATTTTGAGGGGTAGGGGGAGGAGTGGGGCGGTGGGGGAGGGGTGGGTGTTGTTTGGGGTTGATTTATATACATACAGTATTGTGTATTTTGAGGGGTAGGGGGAGGGTTGGGGGGTGGGGGAGGGGTGGGGTTGTTTGGGGTTGATTTATATACATACAGTATTGTGTATTTTGAGGGGTTGGGGGAGGGGTGGGGGTTGTTTGGGGTTGATTGATATACATACAATGTTGGGTATGTTGTTGGGGGATGGGAGAGGTTTTTGTTTAGAGTGGGAGGGGCATGGTTGAAAGGGTGGGAGTTGCTTTTGTTTTGTTTTTCTTTTGAGGAAGTGGAGGATGGTGTATGGAAACGGGATGTGGGTGGGGGTTGTTTGGGGTTGCAATAAGACACTTTTTAGAAAGTGATGTGAAAATAAAAGAAGAAAAAAATAAGAAAAGTGATGTTGGTTGTTGTCAGGATTTGAGTCAATGTCAATGGAATTCCCAACATCATGACTTGTGGAGTTTTCAGTGATTGGTTGAATTCATAAAAATACTTAAAGGGATATTCTGTCTGTAGAAGTCAGCAAATTTCTGGTATTTTGGAATTTTAGATTCTTTAAAACTGAAATATTATTTAAGTAAACCTTTTTGTACCCCAAGCACTCTATACAATTGATAGATTAATCTCTTTTTGGGCACCTACTAAAATCACCAACACAATATTTTTGATAAAACTGAAAAATCTTGAGAGAAATTATACAAAAATTAACGTTGAATGAACTAAAGCTTTTGTTATAAATGTTAACTAAGTAAATTAAATCTCTTTTGGGCTTCTAAATCACCAAGCACTTTGCTTTCATTCCATTTAAGTTATTTTGGTTCCCATAAATATAAGAAAAAATTGTTTCGTCGTATTGATATCTCTCCTTGCTTCAAATTCATCATTTGCAACAGTTTTTTTGACCAGCTGATTCAGATCTGCTAGACAAGTTTAAAACTGTACCAGCTGATGGGAACCTCTTGGTGATTACAAGAGCTTCCTTTGTTTGTTATATACACAGACAAGATAAAAATAGATATAAAGTTAGGTTTTATGTTTTATATATTTTCTGGCAGGTGACCACCTACCCTTTCACATCCATTCGGGGGATCAAACCCCAGATGTCTTATTGAAAGTAGAGTGCATTACCATGTCGCCAATGACCACTCCGCGACCATCTTTGACTCTAGATACCGCTTGCTAGAGATATCCTGGCACTGCTTTAAATCTTTAATAGAAATTTTTATGCTAAATTAGTTGCTTTTGAATGTCAGCACATTTTCTGTATGTCGCTTGCTGCAAAAGAAAATCTGTTTCATGATATTTTTTATGATCTGTAGCATGTGGGGGCTTGGATTAGGTAGTTATGTAACCATAGCAACATTAATCTCTGTTAAATGTCACCATGTTCAACAGTGTACCTCCCTGTATATTGGTTTGTTTGTCAGTTGATGTAAAAAGTTGTGCATGGATATATATATAAATATATATGTATGTATGTTTCACAAACTTTTCCCAAAAATTCATCGTAGAATGTATAATTGTTTAGTGCAAATCTTTTATTTATGTGCTGTGTCAAGTTTATAGTTATAAAGTCAGCTGATTTAGATACAGATGTTTATGTTTCTGATTAATGTCTAAATATTCAGAGATCAGGAAACAAACATACTATGTCGAAATATCGAAAAGCAAAGCATCATTATATTTGACCAGTATGTTCCTTTTATGAAGTCCAAGAAAGTTTGCAAAAAGAAATGATCTAGACCCACAGTCAAGGTCAAAGGGGTCAAATGGGTTAAACCTTTAAATGACATTTTCTGATTATCCAATACATCTAAGATGGTAATAGGTTCTCAATGATGCCCAGTAATATTTGAGAACAGAAATTACCTTGACCTGTATCCAAGGTCACAACAGTCAAATATGTTAAACCTTTGAACAACTTCTGATTAAGCTAAAGGCTTAGGATCATAATATTTGTCCAAAAGGTTCCCTTAATGGTGCCCACAAAGTGTGTGAAAAAATAGCTTGACCCATAATGATATTTAAGGTCACTGGGGTTAAATTTGGTAAAATCATTAACAACTTCTGACTGACCAAAGGCTATCATATGTGGCCAGTAAAAGTTTCACAAAGGCTTATATACATATATGTAGAACCTTCCAATGACTTACTAAAGGAATATATTTGACTGGGAATTTTCTTGGCATAACTTGGAATAAATTATAAAGACCTTTCACAGTGATGTCACACTGTTCCAAAAATAGATTAAACCAAGCCCCCTGGAGGTCTGAGAGGCTTGAGCTAAGTAATGTGAAAAACTACGTTAGCCAATTACTTATGTTCTATTTACAGCATTAAAATACAGAAAATATGACCGGAAAGAGAATTGCAAGAGCTTCATTTTAATTTAAGATTTTTCATGATTATAGCATAAATAAATAAGAAATTCCAAGTTGATCCCATTTGCTATGCAGTGTTTATAGGTCTACAGTAAACTGTTATCAGTAGATCTCCAGTAACCGGACTTAACTGACTATGGTGACATCACTGATGATATGCATGAAACGTTTTATTATTGGTTTTGGGTAAGGATTATGGTTTATAATCACATGTACCTTAATTTTTCCTGTCTTTATATCTAGTTGCTATATATTGTTGACTTGTGCAAGTCTCAAATATGTTGTATCTGTGTTTGTAAACAATGATCTAAAAGGCAAGTAAGCTTCTGCTGTCCTGGGTCATCCGTCCAGCTATATATTTCATAGTACATACAAATCTACATCACTTGATTCTATTTCTTGTTATTTCAGGCTGGGATATCGGCTGCTCCAGCGCGTGCAGTTTCCGCTGTCAAAGACATGAACATCCCACAGAAAATCAAAGATATGAAGATGCCAGACCTTCCATCTATTGGAAACCTCAAGTTCTGAACAATGGTAGTTTTATATGGAGGAATTCATGTGTATCATTTGTCCCTGTGTTATATATCTTCTGACCAAGGGGTAGAATTGGTGTCGTATCCTTATGTTCCACTTTTCTCTCTGGGTACAGTTTTCTGATTTTACTACACAAGATACGTAGCTTTTGGATTGTGACTAAGTAACCAAAGACACTCCAGATATTATGGTACAAAACGACACCATCACCTTTGTAGTCTTTCTGTCGGTTATATCTGTAGATATTGAACTGAACATTGCAAAATAATTGTTACTGAACTAGTTTTGATACAACTTGAAATAATTTTTATAGAAAAAAAGGTACATTTTCTGTGAACTTTTCGTTAAACTGTAAAATTCTTCATTTTCGACTAAATGATGTCACCTGTTGAAAGTTTTCATGAATTTTTTTGTTAAAGAGATATTTTTTAGTGCTAAAATCAAGTGACCACGTCGTTTTACTATAAAATACTTAATTTTCGACTAAATGATGTCATCTGTTAAAAGTTAACGCAAGGTTTTGTTTAAGTTGTATTTGTTTTGAACCCTGCAGAATTAGAGTCCCACGGAAATAGGATTTCACAGTATACATTGAAGAATGAAGCATTACTGTACAATACTTCTCGAAGATACTTCAGTGTATACAACAAATACAACCAGAGTTCTATCTAATACAATAATAATAATGTCACCAGACTTGTCTTAGACAACGGTCGATCAGTGCTAACATATAAAGGGTCCTGTTCTGGAGTGATCTTTTCATGAGGGCAGTATTTTATAAATCTTACTTGGTATTCAGATGAAGTTCTTCACTACAACAAAAGGTAGAAAGGGTAAATTGAAACTTGGTTGATTGGTCGCTTGGTAACAGGTTTATTTAAATTTCGACTATTTCTATCACGAGACGTCGTAGACAAATGTCAGTGTTCTCGTGATGTGCCAGCTTGGTTATTTTTATTAATAAATGTTACAAACTGGTATTATATCAACAGATATGAATTTTGTCTAAATCGAAGTTTTTAATATTCAGCTATTTATTTAGTGTAAACTCCTATGAAAGATTTAAGAAACTAGCATCATGACTGTGTGGCTACTGAACCGTTTCTGGTATTTAGTGGTAAATCACCATTACATTGTCTTATTCACATGCTTGATAAAACAAAAATTTTACATGTTGATATCAAATTTAATGTTGACATCAGAAGTTAGCTAATCAGAAAAGTTATGAGTTTCCATTTTATGTCAATACCAAGTTACAGGTAGCAGGGAGTCAGAATGTTGACAACATAAAATAAGCGTGAATGAATATAATTTTGAAAAATATTAGCTGTAATTCAGCTGAATTTTGCATTAAAACCTTTCATATTAGACATAAATTTAATCACAAATTTTCATATCCCAGACATTCTTTAAAATGATCAACATTGAAATGTCATAGTTTATATTTTAAACGGAACTTCATTTATGATTTACATTACTATACAGTTTTTGATACCGACGTAACCTGGGGATAAGACTGGTGATTATAGTTGGTATCTAATAGTGTGTCTTACTAAACCTGAATTATTCATTTTAAATATTGACGTGAAGTGATAGTGTCACTATGAAATATGCAATAAGACATAACCTTCTGAGCTGACCAGACTGGCAAATATTGGGGTATGTAACTTACCTCTTGTAATCTGGATTTCAATCTCTGTAAGTAAATAACTCTCTTAATATTTTGATGTTTTTACTGAAAATAAGATACACACTTTTCAAGAAGTTTAGTTTTTGCGCAACTAGGACCGTTTCAGCTGACACTTAAAAACAGCCTGTCTTTAAAAGTACATCCGCGAAAAGCAGTGTTTATAAAAATCAATACTTGTAGGCCTATTATTATCAGTAGTTGTACTGTTACTAATGTTTAAAGTCATTGATGGCATTCATTACATCGTAAATACATTTACCATATATGTCAATTGCACTATTTGTATGAATGATATGAATGATGATGGGGAGACAGAAAGGAAATAAATTATTGAAATGATAATATTGTCTTGTTTTTTTTTATCCCAATGTCATCAGATGAAATCACGCTCCATCCATGGCATTCCTTCTATCCTTCCTAATGAAGATAGATATAAACTTTATTATGAAACATGTAATTTACCACAATTGTGAAACATGTTATTTACCACAGTAAGGGAACATGTAATTTACCACAATTGTGAAACATGTTATCTACCACAGTAAGGGAACCTGTAATTTACCACAATTGTGAAACATGTTATCTACCACAGTAAGGGAACATGTAATTTACCACAACTGTGAAACATGTTATCTAGCACAGTAAGGGAACATGTAATTTACCACAATTGTGAAACATGTTATCTACCACAGTAAGGGAACCTGTAATTTACCACAATTGTGAAACATGTTATCTACCACAGTAAGGGAACATGTAATTTACCACAATTGTGAAACATGTTATCTAGCACAGTAAGGGAACATGTAATTTACCACAATTGTGAAACATGTTATCTACCACAGTAAGGGAACATGTAATTTACCACAATTGTGAAACATGTTATCTACCACAGTAAGGGAACATGTAATTTACCTCAATTGTGAAACATGTTATCTACCACAGTAAGGGAACATGTAATTTACCACAATTGTGAAACATGTTATTTACCACAGTAAGGAAGCATGCAATTTACCTCAATTGTGAAACATGTTATCTACCACAGTAAGGGAACCTGTAATTTACCACAATTGTGAAACATGTTATCTAGCACAGTAAGGGAACATGTAATTTACCACAATTGTGAAACATGTTATCTAACACAGTAAGGGAACCTGTAATTTACCACAGTTGTGAAGCATGTTATCTAGCACAGTAAGGGAACCTGTAAGTTACCACAATTGTGAAACATGTTATCTACCACAGTAAGGGAACATGTAATTTACCACAATTGTGAAACATGTTATCTAGCACAGTAAGGGAACCTGTAATTTACCACAATTGTGAAACATGTTATCTACCACGGTAAGGGAACATGTAATTTACCACAATTGTGAAACATGTTATCTAGCACAGTAAGGGAACCTGTAATTTACCACAATTGTGAAACATGTTATCTACCACAGTAAGGGAACATGTAATTTACCACAATTGTGAAACATGTTATCTAACACAGTAAGGGAACCTGTAATTTACCACAGTTGTGAAGCATGTTATCTAGCACAGTAAGGGAACCTGTAAGTTACCACAATTGTGAAACATGTTATCTACCACAGTAAGGGAACATGTAATTTACCACAATTGTGAAACATGTTATCTAGCACAGTAAGGGAACCTGTAATTTACCACAATTGTGAAACATGTTATCTACCACGGTAAGGGAACCTGTAATTTACCACAATTGTGAAACATGTTATCTAGCACAGTAAGGGAACATGTAATTTACCACAATTGTGAAGCATGTTATTTCAACTTATATTAATCACTCTTGCTGGCCCAGATGTAAACACACAAGTGATCTTATCGTGGGATGAAACCAGAGTACCTTGGGAAAGACATGTGGTCGGGCAGGTGATCTGTTACCTGTTCCAGGAGTCAAACCACATTTAAGTGAAAGACAAGTTTGAACCACCGAATCACCATTTGAACAAAGGTAGTTTGCAGTTCCGTAAATAAAACAAAATTAAATTTTCTCAAGATTATTTTATGAAAAAACTTGAAAATAATGTGTAAGGTGAATGTGGCATAATATAATATACATATAATATGAAAGTGTCTGCACCCTGATCCAACAAAAGCCAGGTTTCTGTATAAAATGTGTTATAGGATGCTTATTTACATATACAGAAGTTAACTACAGGTATATCTTTTGTTGTCAACTCTGCCAAAATATATGGTATTTCAACATTCAGGTATTCAATAATACCATGTAAGCATTAAGATACACATTAGATACAAATTGTAGACATTGACAAGGGCATCCTTTTGACCTTTATTCATTTGAGTAATACATGTGCTGGCGCAAGGTTTGTGTAATAAGTAATTATGTTTACATACGACATCATAGTTTATTCATTTACTATTTTAGTTGCCTTGTATATTCTATAGAGGGGAATAAAGGTGATAAGAGAATAAGGCAGGAAAAGAAAATAAGGGAGAAAAGGAGAATAAGGACGGAAAGGAGAATAAGGGAGGAAAGAAGAATAAGGGAGGAAAGGAGAATAAGGGAGGAAAGGAGAATAAGGGAGGAAAGAAGAATAAGGGAGGAAAGGAGAATAAAGGAGGAAAGAAGAATAAGGCAGGAAAGGAGAATAAGGGAGGAAAGGAGAATAAGGGAGGAAAGAAGAATAAAGGAGGAAAGAAGAATAAGGCAGTAAAGACAAATAAGGGAGGAAAGGAAAATAAGGGAGGAAAGGATAATAAGGGAGGAAAGAAGAATAAGGGAGGAAAGGAGAATAAGGGAGGAAAGAAGAATAAAGGAGGAAAGAAGAATAAGGCAGGAAAGAAAAATAAGGGAGGAAAGGAGAATAAGGGAGGAAAGAAGTGTCACGCACACCTGTATGTTTACCTGTGCATTGTTATTGAGTTGGTCACGTGAGCGGGTATGCGAGTGTGAGCGGAACAGTGGACATTGACTGTCCAGGTGACCAGCACGCCTTTGTTCTGTTTTCGTTACCTGTTTGCCGACTTTATGGCGTGAGTGACTTTGTTTAGTCGTGGAAATGAAGCCCAGACATCTGACTGGGGTAAGTATTCTGTCTTTCTTTCGTAATATGCTGTTTTATGTGGTTGTTTATTGCCATATTTACGATGTCCTTCTTATAGGTCAAGCTATCTATTGTCGGTGCGTGTTCGTTCATGCGTAGCTTTCAGTGTTTACGATGCATGTTTATTTTCTAGGATTTAACGTTGAATTAGGCTGGATACATTTGAAAATTGTTATTGTACATCTAGAGTGGCTATTTTGTCAGTTATTTAGTCGTTGTAAAACCGTAAAGTACACGTAGAAATGTGGTTACGTTCGTGTTAAAAAAAATATGGAAGCCGTGAGTGGAAGTCATGTGCGCATGAACCGGTGTGAGAGCGTCACGGTATAAATTCTATGGAAGGCCGTTAGTGTCGTGTATGTTTCGCGTAACGATATGGTTGTTTTGTTGAATTTTGATATTGTGTATTTTATCACGCACCGTAGAATTGTAAAAATGTAGTCGTGTATTCCCCTTGTATTACACAAACAAGTAATAGATCATTGATTATGAATAATGTTAATTTACTGGTTAATTGTAAGAAACCTTGTGAGTTATATGTAATTGTAGTCATTGGTGGAAGGATGAACGTTTAGTGGTCTTTTGTTTTTGTTTAAAGCTTCACATGATGGGTAAATCAAAATAGAGCCTACAGAAGGTCAGCACCGCTGGAGCGCCAGGTCTTCGCCGTGCAGTAACGGGACCGACCAACGTTACATCTCAGTTACTCAGGGTCTAGGTCAACTGCAAAGAAGGATTGTCTCCAGGGACAGGCTGTCATGTAGCGACTCGGCTGTAATATGTAAGCTAGTCACCGCCCTATCAGTGAGGGAGTTTTCATGATACGGTTGCTTTGTCAGCAATTCGTCTTTGTGTTGGGAACTGAGCGAGTCGTTCCTTTACAACTCGGACTTTGTCAGTCCACGGAAGCTGTTTTGCGTGCACTCTCCGTGTGCACTATTCGACACATTGGAGATGTTGATTGTGAGACCACCTTGTAACTTGTCTGTGAAGAGACTAGCCATCTTTACTGTTAAAGTGTATGAATGGAGAGTGATTGTGAGTGTGACTGGGTGTTTGTAGTTTTCATGTTCTCTTTGTTAATAAATTTGTGTATATGTTCATTTGTTGTATTCTTGTGTTGATTTCCTGATATACTGCACAGAGGCACGTCCCACGTTACAAGAAGAATAAGGAAGGAAAGGAGAATAACGGAGGAAAGAAGAATAAAGGAGGAAAGAAGAATAAGGCAGGAAAGAAAAATAAGGGAGTATATGAGAATAAGGCAGGAAAGGAAAATAAGGGAGGAAAGGAGAATAAGGGAGAAAAGAGAATAAGGGAGAAAAGAGAATAAGGGAGGAAAGAGAATAAGGGAGGAAAGAAGAATAAGGCAGGAAAGAAAAATAAGGGAGTAAATGAGAATAAGGGAGAAAAGAGAATAAGGACGGAAAGGAGAATAAGGGAGAAAAGAGAATAAGTCGGGAAAGGAGAATAAGGAAGGAAAGAAGAATATAGGGAAAAACCTAGAGAAGGATACATCAATTTGATGATGAAGAGTTAATAAAAGTGAGAAAAAGGTAATGTTGTGTTTTGACAACTTTTTATTTAAAAAATGGCATTTATTCTCAGTACATTCTTATTTTGAAAAAAAAGTCTTCATACGAAAATAGTTATGTATAATAAACATCCAATGTACAAGTGAATATTTACTGGATGCATTATGGAACAATAGATTTGAAATATTATTCAACAAGCCACGAATGTGTCTCCTTTTCATTGCTATTTGTATTGATTCTATAACCAACAAAACCAGTACTTTTATTAGTAAGTTGAAATAGGTCTGGAAAGTGCAAACATGCATTGACCTAGCCGTGACAATGCATCAACACGCTGATTAAAACACAGGGAAAATCTTAGTGATAAGTGAAAAGGAGAATATGGCAGGAAAGAGAATGTAGGCCGCCATGAGTTACTGTGCTCAATGTACACAAAGCTGAAATTATTGCAGTTGACCGATCCCTGATATTGCGCGTGTCCTCCCCGAACAGCTATATGTACACCACACGTGTTCCATTGGGTACAAACCGAGCTACGTAGTATAAGGAGGCTAACTTACAGCGGTCATGGTCTGGGTTGCAAGAAAGTCCCAACAAACTCTCGCATTATATTGCCTAACAACATCAAATTGAAACGTCAAACGATGCATGGAAATGCACAGCACAAGATGAGGCCTCAGGATCTCCTCTCGATAGCATCGATAAGTTCCCGTTACTTATCACT